GCTGATCCGATGGCAGGAGCCAGGATCCAGGTGCTTTTCCTGGTCTCCCACGGGGTGCAGGGCCCAAGCACCTGGGCCATCCTCCACTGCACTCCCTGGCCATAGCAGAGAGCTGGCCTGGAAGAGGGGCAACCGGGACAGAATCCGGCGCCCCGACCGGGACTAGAACCCGGTGTGCCAGCGCCGCAAGGTGGAGGATTAGCCTATTGAGCCACGGCGCCGGCCCAAGGACATCCACCATTCTATGAGTCTGCTGAGTATCTCGCTTCCCATGTTGGATCACTCTCCCCTTTATTTATTCTATCGGTTAGTATTAGCAGGTACTAGACTTGTTTATGTGCTTCCTTTGACTCTTAGTCCTTTCATTATGATCAATTGTGAACTGAAATTGATCACTTGGACTGGTGAGATGGCATTGGTACATGCCACCTTGATGGGATTAAATTGGAGTCCCGTGGTATGTTTCTAACTCTACCATTTCGGGCAAGTCAGCTTGAGCATGTCCCAAATTGTACATCTCTTCCCTCTCTTATTCCTACTCTTATGTTTAACAGGGATCACATTTCAGTTAAATTTCAACACTTAAGAATAACTGTGTATTAATTACATAATTAAACCAGTCATATTAAGTAGAACAGACAAAAAAAATACTAAGAGGGATAATGTATTAAGTTGTTCATTAACAGTCAGGGCTATACTGATCAAGTCACCGTTTCCCATAGTGTCCATTTCACTTCAACAGGTTTCCTTTTTGGTGTTCAGTCAGATGTCACCGATCAGGGAGAACATACGGTATTTGTCCCTTTGGGACTGGCTTATTTTTAATTTGTAAGCTTCCAAGTTAAAGTTATCATGTCTAAACAAATCGATATTTCCTGAATGAAAAATATCCCCTAATTAATGTTTCTAACCTAAGGCACAACTACTTGATTTATGTTATAAAAATCTATATAAAGACAGAGGTAACAGTCTTCCAAATCTGCAAGACTTAAGGAAGTCCATAAAGAGTAACAATATATTGATGCTGTTGATAGTGTAATTTTCTATGCTAGACTTCATACCACCAACAAAATAATAATAATTTAGTTCATAGTGGGTGAAAAATAAGTAGAACAAAGATTAGATCACACATTTATTTTGTGCATTAATATTTCCAAAATATTTCAGTTCATATTGATTTTTTTTTGACAAGCAGAGTGGATAGTGAGAGAGAGAGACAGAGAGAAAGGTCTTCCTTTTTGCCGTTGATTCACCCTCCAATGGCCGCCACGGCTGGCGCGCTGCAGCCAGCGCACCGTGCTGATCCGAAGGCAGGAGCCAGGTGCTTCTCCTGGTCTCCCATGCAGGTGCAGGGCCCAAGCACTTGGGCCATCCTCCACTGTCTTCCCGGGCCACAGCAGAGAGCTAGCCTGGAAGAGGGGCAACCGGGAAAGAATCCGGCGCCCCGACTGGGACTAGAACCCGGTGTGCCGGCGCCGCAAGGTGGAGGATTAGCCTATTGAGCCATGGCACCGGCCCCATATTGATTTTTATTGATTTGAGAGGTGGAGAAAGACAGAGAGACAGCTCTCACCTATTGGTTCATTCCCCAGATGCCTGAATGGCCAGGAACTGGGACAGGCCAAAGATGGGAGCTGAGAATTTAATCCAGATCTCCCATGTGGGTGGCAGAAACCTAATTACTTCAGCATCGCTGCTCTCTCCCAGGGCCTGCATTAGCAGAAAACTGGAGTCAGGCGCCAAACCAGGGAATCAAATCCAAGTACTACAAGATGGGATATGGGAACCTTTTTAAAAAATTTTTTTTATTAATTATTTTATTTAAGGAATGCAACTTCATGTATTTAATATATACAGATTTGGGAACTTGAGGATTCTTCCTCCCCACCTCCCTCCCAGCCCTACTCCCACCCTTCTTTCTCCTCCCTCTTCCTTTCCCATTCTTATTTTTCACAGAGATCAATTTTTCAAATAATTTTTATACTCATAAAATTAACCCTACACTAAGAAAAGAGTTCCCTGATTAGTATGAAGAAGAAAGAAAAAAAAAGAATTGTTCCTCAATAGTCAAGGCAAAGGCTGTTCAAAATCACATCTTAAAGTGTCAGTTACATTCTTATATATTGCATTTAAGGTACTCTATCAATTACCACAGATCAGAAAGACCATATGGTGTTTGTCTATATGGAAATCTTAACCAGCATCTTCATTATGCTAAATGCTTGTCTCTTGGTTTTTATTCTTCGTAATAATACACCTCTCAGATATATATATATGTCTGTATTGAAAATTTGAGAAATAAAGAAAGCTGAATCCTAAATTTAGGCCAAGTGAATTAAGGTCAAAATGAGGTTTAGTTATAATAATCAAGCTGAGAATTGAGGTCCCCAAATACTCTGCTTATGTTCTTTGAACAGATTCAGGGCGTTCCACCTGTTAAACTTAAAGCATATATTCTATTTTCTAGCAAAAATCTAGAAAGTCCTTTACTTCATAACAAATAAAAATAGAAGACATGATTTTTCTAAACATGGCAATCTCATACCAGAGCATTCTTCTGAAGTAAATTTTGAAACTAATTGCTCCCAAACTTCAATGTACTACATAGGTGGCTGGCGCCGTGGCTCACTTGGCTAATCCTCCACCTGCGCACAACATGCCGGGTTCTAGTCCTGGTTGAGGCTCTGGCTACTAGTCCCAGTTGCTCCTCTTACAGTACAGCTCTCTGCTGTGGCCCGGGAGGGCAGCGGAGGATGGCCCAAGTGCTTGGGTCTCTGCACCCGCATGGGAGACCAGGAGGAAGGACCCGGCTCCTGGCTTCGGATCGGCGCAGCGACGCCCTTGGCGGCCATTAGAGGAGTGAACCAGCGGAAGGAAGACCTTTCTCTCTCTCTCTCACTGTCTATAACTCTCTCTCTGTCTCTGTTTCTCTCTCACTGTCTAACCCTGCCTGGCAAAAAAAAAAAAAAAAAAAAAAGATTTAAACTACTTAGGTAATAATCTCAGACTAACCTATTTAAACTTGATAATATCTTGGATATGCTAAAACAACAGCTACCTGTGAACTTCCATGTATTCTCATTTTAACTGCAGCTAGCTTAAATTAATTGTATAAAAAGGGTTTTCTGTAACTGGTATAATCATCTTCAGTTTTCCTTCACAAAACAGAAACCCTTCACCTGTATATTAATTTGGTAACTTACTACGAATCAACTAGATCACAAAAGCTAGGAAACTATTAAGGAAAAAGACTTTAATCTTAAATATAAATTCAGAGGCCAGATACTTGTAATTTATGGCTTGCTTATTTGTAATTACTTTCTTTTACAATTATTGTTACAAAAATATGTCCATATCATCAAACAAAAGTTAACAAAAAGAGATAATTTGATATTTTCTGGTAATAAGGACAATTTGTAGAAATTTTGAGAAATAAAAGATTATTTTGAAAATAATAATAATAACATTTTCTAAGTACATACTCTTTGCCAGGTATTATAATGAGTGTTGTCAGATACAAAGATAAAAAGTTACCTCTTACCTTCAAACAATTTGCAATTTGATGAAGAAAATATAAAATGTGTGCATAAACACACATAAATATATACACACATAGACAATAATATGCAGAAATTGCTTGGGAAGCAAAGACAATATTATGGAAGCACAAAGAAGAAAGACATGTTTTCTTGCCTCAGTACTATTCACACTCATTTTTAAATTCAAGGTCTGAAAACATAAAGGAAATAACTCAGAGAAGAAAAATTAGCAATAATAGATGATAAAACTTGAAATTTTCTTCCAAAAGCAAGAACCAATGTCTTAATTTGCTAAACTTCTGAATGAGGTTGGCCTAGTGTTTTTAATTTTTCTCCTATTAAAAATTATAAAAGTGAGAACTAAAATGTAACAAAAAACCTAGAACTTTTTCTTCATTTGAAACTTTTGCATTAAAATAATTTTATTGATAAAACTGCAATCACTTTTATAATAACTTCTCATATATAATGATACACTAAATAGCTGCATAATTTCACCTTAATGTGAGAAAAATCTTATTTCATTGAAATCATGTTAATGATGTGGAATTAAAAAGATGCTATCATTCTATAACAATGAGATTATTTATATTTATGTAGTGCCTAATCCATTTAATTGACATAGCAGAATCTGCTAAACAATTGTTTTACTAATCACTATATAAGGAAACCACAGCAATAACACAACAATTCATAGTAATTATTACCTTTAAAAGAATTTCTATAGTTAAAATAATCTTAAGAACTGTCTATCTTTCCCAGAGTACTCTTTGGTATAATGCTGATAAAGAAGTCAATAACATCCTTTCTTAAATCAGTAAACATATTATTTTACTAAGTATCTATTAATGAGACAGCAAATGATATAGGGAAGCACAATCTTTATTCTCAAAAATTAAGAATTAAATATAATAAATTTTAATCAGTTACAAAATTAAGTAAATTTCATTTAATTCCTCGCTTCATTGCACCTATTTCTCTATGGCCCATTATCTTCACTTGACATTGGCACCTTCAGTAGAATATACATCATATCTATTAGTATGTTTCCCTGTTAATCTACTATAATAATGCAGAATATAATAACCATACATTAATTCTATTAAGTTCAAGACAACATGCCAAATTAAAATTTTATTAAATCATTAAACCTACTTAAAACATTAAATCTATTTAAAATTAATTAAACATTAAAATATTAATTACAATATGCATACAAGGAAAATACTAAATGGAGGTATAAAAATTATTCTTAGAATATGTTTACTAAAACATAATGTGACCTTAAAGTTGCAGATTTCAGATACAAACCTCAATATTGAAGCATCTTTTGCAAAAGGTTACACAGAAATAAATTTTTATGGATGAATGTTCTATGAACTCTATGTATATAAGCATGTAAAAGAAAATGAAGCATGACATGCAGAGACAAGAGTCTATGAATATTTCAGAGTACTTCACCTTCTATCCACTTACGAACTTCCCTGGGAGAGGATGTCACAGTAGGATGTTCTCTCTGGAAACGATGAAATGATTGTTCCATCTCAGAATGAATAGAGAAAATCTACTGTTAATATGTAAGACTTAGATAAACTGAATATCTAAGAATGAAATAATACAACTTAATGTGACTCTGGTCTTGTCTATTCATACAGACTGAATTATATTAGCAAATGCTGTAAGGTGTGGGAGTTTTCAAGGAAAATATTTCACCATTAATAATTAAATTAATATTTGTTTCTTTAGTAAATAAAAATTTCAAATATAATCCTGACACAACTTCTACCTGACAGGAATTGCGAATCCACTAAGAAGGATAAAAAAAAACACATAAAGTATGTCGGTAATTAACTTGAAGGAAGTATCATACAAAGAAAATGGTAAGGAGTTCATGCTTAACTGCAAGGAAAAACATCGGTTCATGCAGCAGGTGGCATCTGAGTCAAGCCAAAGAAGACTAAACAGAAAAGAACCTTGGGGAAAAAAGCGATACAATCTGCCCTACCTACATTAGGAGTGTCTTGTGAGACCCATACAAAGAGAAAAAATAAGGCAGGAAATACATTGTAAAATGTAAAACATTGATTACAAAAATGTGATTCATTGTTTGTCCTGATGGTTTTGAAGCTCCAATTTGTTGCAGCCTGCTTTATTAATGCCTATATTACTCAGCTCTTAAAACTCACATTAGGGAATATACAAATGACAAATTAACAAGAATTTTAAAAATAAGAGTGCAATAATGTAAATGCTCTCAAATCCAACTGTTTTCCCTTTGCATTTACTGACTTTTAACTACATTTTGAGCGTTTATGTAAAAGTGCTTTACAAAAAATTTAACTCACTAACACTCATCTTAAACAAATGATTTAAAATCACAGCCAAAGCCCTTTCTAAAAAGAAACTGAATATAGGTTTCACTTTACCAGCCTAAATACGTATGAACAAATTAGCGGACTGGTGCAATTGTGCCCCCACTTGTACCTACTCACCTAGTCCAGACCCTGCCTTGCACAGTACTGCTTGAATTACTGAAGGGCATTTTATGTTGACCCTATCTTGTCCCTCAAGAAAACTCGGTTTGAATCTGAAAGAGCAAGGAGTTGACAGATTTTCTAGAAGAGCACTATTGATAGAACTTCATATGATGCCAGAATATTCTTAATTTGCACAACTGACACCGTAGCTAATTGCCATATATGGTATTAGGTATGTAAAATATGGCTAGTGGAATTCAGTAACTAAACTTTTAATTGCATTTAATTTTCATTAAATACCCATATTAAATACCTACATTGAACAACACAGATCTAGGGTTTCCAATCAATTTCTAGGGTCACATTATTTGGTGGACAATCTCAAACTGAAAATGACGGCTACAAGGGGAATAGAGAAATCTGAAATATTCTTGATGCTTACTGTCAGATTATCTGTTGATGTAAAATTCGTGAGAAAAGTAGCAAAGAGCCGGTGAGCAGCTGCAGGCGTTAAGGGTAAGAGAGGCTATATAGAAAGGGGAGGGTGGTTGATTAAGGAAAGGAAGTTTGGGTAGGCTCCAATGCCGGAATGTAGAGCCTTTTCGGTTACTCTGGAAAAAAAAAGAAAAGAAAAGAAAAAAGTTAGTAAAAGAAAATTATCAAAGTTCTGGCATTCAACACAGAATTTGTAAAAATAAAGGGCAAAATATTTCATTTCATCTAAGCACATTCAACAAATGGGTAATGTGTTCTTACTATTGTGCCAAGCACAGTGAATTTCATTAATTTAAAAAATGTAGTTGTGCTTTCTATGATTATATAGCATTACTTAAAATATTCTAATTTCAAGGAAAATATTTTTTTGGTATGCAATGGGAGTAATTTTGTCTATTATTTTTGCTATATTACATGTACATTAGTTTTCTAATCTCTGTTTTGTTTTGGTGTTGGCCTTTCCAGCTTCCACTGCTTTCTTCTTTTAACTTTAGCAAGAGGACTCTGGCCAGTTTCCTTTTCTTGAAAATCTATATGTCATACAAAACACTCACTATGAATCTCAGCTCTTAAGAGCAAAGAAAGGAAAGGAAGGAAACAAATGCTGACAACACAGTAATAATAATAATAATATTAATAATAATAATAAACTACCAGTGATCCAAAACCGAAAATTTTCCCTCTTCAAAATCTCAGTCTCTTGCTATGAATCATGACAAGCTTAGAAAAAAAGTTTTCTTCCTATTACATTCCTTTTCGTAGAAAGGCTTGGGTCTATAGCCTGTTTAGGGAGATAAGCGGAAAGCTAGATGGTTTCTGATTGTTAAAATTTTAATTAAGCTTAATGAGTTTAAAACCCACGATAAAAATTTCCAACAATACAGTGTTAAAATTTAAAATAAACTGGAAAAAAAATCTTCTATCCGCTGACCTTAACCTGGTAAATTTATATTTCCATAAGAGAATTATATAAATAATGCTGAGAAGAATCATCAAGGGTGAATCGTAGGCTCAGGGGATTAAAAAAAAAAAAAAGTAGAGGTGATATCTAATCAAAAGGCCAACCACTCTACCGTTGGAATGGCCGCTACAGAAACGTCCCGGGCTGGCTGATGTGATCACAGAGAAGTAAAATTCTGCCATCTTAGAACTCTCCCCCCTCCCTCCCCACGCCGGTCCCCTCCGTTTTCGTGCTCCTGCCTCACACAATCCCGGTAAACGAGTCTCTTTCGTCTTTCACCTCAGGAAGAGTCAACCAAACTAGGACCCCATTCCGCCAAATTGTCCGTTACCACCTAACCGTCATCCCCCTTCCCCCCCCCCGCCCCTCCCGTCCGCGGTTTCTCCTAGGACAGTTTCCTCACTAGTCTATCAGAACCTCCACCTGAGGTGCGGGCCTGAGGTAGCCTGGTCACCCCCCGCCCCGCTATCGGTTGCCCTGGCAGTCCCGTACAGCTCTTCTCCTCCACAAGTACCCTCGGTTCTGGCCAGACCGCGCAGCGGTTTAGAGCTTTCAAAGTGATGCTCCTAGGAGCGGCAAACGTTCCCTGCCTCCCTCTACAGCCTCACCAAAGGCTATAACAAGCGATCTCCTTCTTGTCTCTTCCCCTATCCCCTCAGGCCTGATGACGCCGGGGCGACAAGTCCCCGGCGATCAGGTCCCTGAGGGTCGGGTCCCGGTTGTCAAGCACCGAGTCATCTCTCGCCCCTAATGCCCCGCGAGGCGTGCCAAGGGGTCAAGGGTCACGGAGGACGTAGCTTTAGCGCGGCACGAGGCGGGGGGTGGGGCGGTTGGCGGGAAAGCGGGTCTTTGCCCGTTCCTGGCACTTAAAAGCCGTTTTAAAAGTTCTTTTTCTTTGAGAAACTGAACATCTGAGGCGTGCCGTAAGGCGTCTAAGAAGAAGGCTAAACACGCACGTAACACAAACACACACACACACAGAGTTTAGGGAAAGAATAAAGGGAAGCGTTAAGCAACAAGTGGTCACAGATTTCTGAATAAAAGGGCCGTTGGAATGCCTAGCCGAGCTGAAGTGAAACCAGGCTCATCTCTAGCGTTTTTGGGAATTTCACTTTATTGCCCTTTCTTAACCTAACTTTATAGATCATAAAGGCCCAGACTTGAGGTGGACAACGAGCTGGGGGAGGATAGAACTAGGCTTTGCTGAACCCACCGTTCCTCCCACTGTAAAGATGAGTTCAAGTATCTCCCATGTTGACGTGCGTGGATTAAGATAATGACTGTTCAAGTGGATCCACGCTAGCGCCTAGTGTTCACAATGAAATATAACAATATTTTGTTTCATCTGAACACAAGATCACCAGAACATTTTATCTCTTGATCCTGTGACTTTGTGAACCCACTTTTAAACAAAGTTGAAATTAACCTGTCATAATGTTGGAGTCCTCAATATCATACCACAATATTCTTTTCCCTGTACCAAGTTTTCTTGGAGTTGTGTACACCAGATATCATACTACAGCAGGTGAACACATCGATTTGTAATCTTTTGTTAAAGGAAACTTCTCAAAGCTATAATAAACCAAAATAAAAATTTTATGGGTCTCACCATTCACTGGAAAACATTTCCCCCAGGAGATTCGTATTCCAAAAAGGGAAACATATGGTCCACCAAAGAGAATTATTTAATGCAGAATGTAGTGGAAAGGAATTTGAAGAGTGATTTTATCTAATTCCTTCATTTTGCAGTTGAGACCATTGAGACCGAGACAGAGACTTGTTCAGGTAACACCATGATTTAGTGGCAGAACTACAAAAAGAGCCTAGTCATTGTACCCCAGTGCAGTGCTCCTTCCACCAAACCCCATACATACCAGAAGTAAACAGCATCTCATGTGAATTGAGAAAGTGTTCTGAAGACGTCCCATATATGTTTCTGTCTTTTAGGATCTAGACATAAGAGGGTGGGGGGAAACAAAACAAAACAAAACAAAACAAGAAAAAACAAACATCCAAATGCTAATGGTGAGAGAGAAAAGCAAGTGATGGTGAGCAGGGAGAAGTAGAAGCAACATAGAAAGCAGCGAGTGTTTTACAAATGAGAACGAACATGAATCACTTCAGACTAAATGAATGACTAGAACTGGTTGGAAAGCAAGGTAAAAGATACTGGCGCATATCCATTTTGACAAAGATAGGCGCTTGCCCCCTTTATCAGCTGCTGATTCAACCTCTAAGTATGTATGATACAAAGTTAAGTTGTTGCTGTTATTAATGATAGAACTTTGGGATTCCTGCAGCCAAAACCATCTTACTTTTGGGTATTTGAGTGTATCATTGAAAAGCCTATGTATTCACAAGAAGCTAGGTTGGAGCTGGCACATTCAGATGGTGGAAATCTTACTTTTGTTATTTAATTAATGGGCTATTTCTCTTTGGTACAGGAGCATAATACTTCATTTGTTGTTACTCACCAGGGTTTCAGCTTCCTGCAAGTTAATCTGATAAACTAATCTGTGCTAATGTGTTAATAATTGTTGCCAACCTCCCTCTTAAGATGTTTGTAATTTAGCAGTAGCTTTGTGTACTGAATGGTAATCAAGAAGACCTGGGAGATTTATTTACTCCTTAAGCCTTTTCTGTCCCTTAAAATTAAATATGTGTGTGTGCATGCGTACCTATGTGTGTGTGTGTATGTACACATGTGTGTATATACAATAAACTAAGAATTAAAAGCACAGTAACAGAATTTATAAATATCACGTCACAGATGTCAAAGGACTTTAACACATATCTTCTCATTTCCTTCAACGAGTAATGTACCATTTGCCAGAAAACAGACTAAAATTTATGCATACATAGCCACTGCTACATTTTCTTAACAGAGCCAGTTAAGTTCATGACTTGATAACAATCATTAACCAAAACTTAATAAAAGTCAATAACTCATTTTGTTAAATATCATGAGTACATAGTATTTGATGAATTTCAAATTACTAGAGGTGGTATTTACAAAGAATCTCTGGCACTATCTCCATAATAATAACCATATCATATATTTGTATAGAAATTTACAGTTCCCTAAGCTATTCTGATGCATTATGGATTTGCCATTTTGAAGCTAATCATCTCAAAAACAGAATATCTTGCTTTTTTCCTTTACCAACCCCACATCCCCGGTCTCTCCTACTTCGTGTGCAAAATTCTACAACATAACAGAAGTAAAAGTACTATAGCACATCTCCTTATTTTATTCAAATACAAATGAAATAATGACTCCAATTTAACTACAGAATTACACTTGATTCATATTTCTCATTTTTCCTCTTAGTAAGTTTCAAGTATCTCAGATAAGATAGACCTCTGATTTGTACAAACAGGCAAAGAGTTATTAAAAAATATCAGCCTAACATACAGAATGGTGACTATAATTAATAATGTATTGCACGTTTGAAATTTGTTCAGAGAGTAAAGCGCTACCGAGAGATTTTAAGTGTTCTCACCACAAAAAATAACTACATGAAGTGATGGATATGTTAATTAGCTTGATTATGGTAATAATTTAATAACGTATACATATATCAAAACATCACATTGTATACCTTAAATATATGTAATTTTTATTTGCCAGATATACTTTAATAAAGCTGGGGAAAAATCAGGTAAAAAAAATCTCATTTCCCAAACATTTAATCCTGAAATTCAGCCTTTCCAAGAAAATACAATTATCCACATTACAAAATCATAAATATCCCTTTGAGGACTTAATAGAACATGGCATTAGTCAATCCTTTAACTTTGATTCCAAAAGTATCTATTTTTCATCTTTACAATAGTAGCTAATAAAAAGCAGCAGCAACAAAAGCACTACACTTTCTTTCCTATTTTCTTCATTGATCTCCCATACAAGTCAGGCACAATTGCTGATCTCGATAAAAACTATAAATTTATAAGAAACAGTGACTCACCTATGAAAAAGCAGCAGGTTGTCACGTTCAGGATGGAATTCATACAACACTGACTCAAGTGAGCGAGCGCACCACCAGGACTGTACTCTGAGAAATGCTTCCCAAATCTAACCTACTCCCCTAAGCAACAGCCTTCATCCATCTACTGGTCATTGCTCTCCCTGACGTTAGTTGCTGTACTGTAGTTACATCCAGTCACATGGCAGCTGCATGGGAGGGAATATGTAACAAGTACCTAACAAATCATCCCCTGCATCTGTGTGATGCCATGTAAGCTGCAAAGCATTTCTACATATATTCTCTCATTTGAACCCCACGGCAAAGTTCTGAAAATTGCTAGTAGGAGAGACCATTATATCCGCCAGAAGATGAGGAAACTGAAACTCAGGGGGGTTAAATTACACACCCAATGCAGCAATTCTAGCTAAGTAAAAGGGAACCACATTATTTAACTTCTATTTTAATGTTCTCTCCACTACGCCTAAGATACAAATGTCAGAGGTTTTTTAATACTGTTTTGTACTTTTCATTGCAATTATTTCAACTTTGCCTTCTGAGATTAATAAACAAATTGCATATAAGCAGAAGATTTGGCTTACTGGATAATACACTCTCCTGGCTCAAATCCTACCTCTCCAAAAACTCCTTTTCTTTGCCCTCATTCCTATTCCATCTCATACTCTGTCAAGTACAAACTTCTCTTTATGCACTACCTTGATTATCCTTACTTCCTGGAATTAAACTATTTTTCAGCATAGGTGATGCCCAAATGTCTAATGTGTATGCATTCCTGCTCCACACCTATTGTTATCATCTCAAATAACCTGTTAAAAATTAGTCCCTTTGACAATCTGTTTGCTAATGGCTGGACAATTTTTCTCCTTACAAGAAAACCATTAATAGCTATATATTTTAAATAATACATTTTATATATTTCAATTTTTTTCATTCTTACAGCAATTCTATGATGGATTCTCACTCCCATTTTATAGATGAGAAAACTGGCTCAGAAATGGTAATGTGATTAAGATTAAACAGCTTGTAAATATTAGAGATGGGTTTGAAATATGTCTGCAAAGTTTATGTCTGTTGTTTACTTTTACACTGTTGAACAGTGATATAAAGACAAAAGGGACAGAACTAATATAGGAATTGATAAAGTTGAGGGAAGATTTAAGAGGAAAATATGATCTTTGAGAATAATTGTAGCATGGATCCAGAGGAGAAGGAGAAATCAGAAATAGAATAAAGAAAAAATTGAGTTACTAAAGAGATGGAAGATAGTTAACCAGCAAAAGAAAGTAACATGCTATTACAACGGAGTAAAGGAATGTGAACATATAGGGAAATATTGGTGTGCAGTGAAAATTAGTAGAAGCAAGCAGGGCATCTATCTTGAGATTGACAAGTACAGGGATTGGGTAAAATATTAAAGTAATATATACATTTTAGTAGTTTCCGGTAAAATCTATGCTTTAATTAAAAGAAAGTGGTAGAAGAAGATAATAACCAGCTAACATTTATTGAACACTCAAAATATACCAGACACTATTATAAGTCGTTTTCTTGCTTTGCTTCATCTAAATTTAAAAAAAAAACAATTCTGAAAGATAGAAACTAATGTTCTGCCTGTTTTACAAATAAAGAAATTGAGGTTAATGACAGGTTAAATGTGGAATAGCAAAAAGTGAACTAGAGTGATGTAAAGGAGCTACAGGCATTCTTAGTTGACCAGGGGCATACAGTGTGAATACTAACAGCCCTACATGTGTTGGTAGCCCTTGAAGTCATCA